TGGTAACTTCTGTCTCGTGAAGGGGCGTGCTTGGTGTTACGTTGAGTTTTAAACATTGACTTTCTGTTTTTTTTTTTTTTTTATTTTTTTTTTTTTTAGTCTCTCTTGCGTTTTGTATATCTTCTCTTATCGTTTTTCTTTATTCGTTCATTTTTTTCTTTTTTTTTTTTGTTCACTCATTCTTTCGTTATTTTCTTTTCTTATCGTTCTTTTATTCATTCATTCCTTATCAATTTTTTTTTCTTTATCTATTTTTTTTTTTTTATCCCTGCTTCTCATGTATGATAATAGTCTGGAATCTATGATGATGGCTGTAATTTTGGAATTTTTCGTTACGGTAACTAATTCTGTGATTTTTTCTGGTTTGATTTGCAATTGTGATTTTCAGGCGTGGTAACTGTGTATTATAGATAAAATAATATATAAATAGAATCAAAAAATGGTAAAAAAAATAGTAATGAATAAAAATATAAAAAACATGATGAATATTTTTTTAAATAGTAATAATAAATAAAAAATAATATATAAAATAATGATGCAAAAATTAAATAAAAAATAATAGATTTTTAAAAATATTAAAAAAAATATTGATACGAAATACCATCAATGTTAAATGAACAAAATCATAGAATGAATAAAATCAAAAGATTAAACGATATGATAACATAATAATAATAGCAGTAATAAAATTGCGCTTTTGAACACACACACACACAAAATACACACAAACACCCACCACAACACTCAAAAACACATGCACACACACACTCAAACCACACAACACGCACACAACACACACACAGCACATCACACAACAACACAACTCAAACACAGACCACAACACACACACACACACACACCACACACACACACAAACACACACAACACACACACAAACACACACACACGCAACACTAACATACCCCAGACTGGTAATGAAATATAATAACAATAATTCCAAAAAAACGTAGTCCTTAAAAATATATATAAACTATCTATCTCGAGAACTCAACTTACCTTTTAAAAAATTCCTCTGCACTTCACTCCAAAGACCTTCTCATATCTTGACAAGACGAAAGGGATATGAAGCGATGTGTACACCTTTGCGTCAGTGCGGTTGTGTACGTTTATATGTGTACTATATATGTAACACGTTGCTTGGTTCAAAATCCGGAGAGAAATTATATATCCAGGCGCCGAAGAGAAGGGACGGACGAATAAGACGCGGAGAGACGACGAAGATGATGACGACGAAGACGAATATAATATTAAAAAAACGAGGACGACGACGATAGAAGCCGAGAGAATAGCAGGAAGGTATTAATGAAACCTTCCTCTCTTTCCTCTCTGTCTCTTGCTCTCTCTCTCTCTCTATCTCTATTCTCTCTCTCGCACCTTCAACGCCACCAGGACGACGACGAGGAAGGACCACTTCTCCCGACGGCCGCCAGACGACCTACTGCCAACCCCGGCAACGTGCGAGCGAGCCAGTCACCGCGCATGCGCACTCGGAGGCTGAGGGGTTCGGCGCGGGATTCGGTGACTGTGAGATCTCTTGTTAGGTGAACCATATATTTTTTTTTTTTTTTTTCTCTTTTTTTTCTCACTGTTCTCTTTTTTTCCTTCTCTCTGTCTCTATCTCTTTCTTTTTCCTTCTTTCTCTTTCTCTCTCTTTCTTTCTCCTTCTCTCTCTCTCTCTCTGTCTTCCTCCCTCCCTCCTTCCCCCCCTCTCTCGCTCTCTCTCTCTTTCTCCTCTTTCTCCTTCTCTATCTCTCTCTCACTATTTCTCCTCCTCTTTCTCTCTCCTTCTCCCCTCCGTTCTCTCTCTCTCTCTCTCTCCCTCTCTCCCTCCGTCTCTCTCTTTCTTCTCCTCCTCCCCCCCCACTCTCTCTTCGTCACTAATTATATGAGATGAGAATCAGATTTTTTTTATTCTTTTTTTTTTCTAATTTATGATTTCTGTGACGTAATTCAAAGTCAAAGATGATTTTCTCTTTTTTTCGTTCATAAAATTTACGATTTCGGTGATGTGTGTCAACCTTCTCGCCACGTGTTCAGTAACGATATATATCTTTAAATAAAATGAAATCTAGGATGATTGGAATTTAAATATAACTGAATCATGTTTCACCTCTCTTCGTACTGGAAGCACCTGCTTAACCTAGTCACAAAATTTGAATAAAATTGAATAAAAAAGACGAAAAAAAAACGAAGAAAAATAAAAATGTCGAGTCATAAAACCTTTTGTGTTTTTTTTTCATTATCTTTATCACTATTCAAAGAAGAAGAAGAATAAGTGGGATAATGAAAAGAGGCGGAAGACAGATAGATTAAAGGCCAGGGGGAGGGAGGGAGGACGGGGGGGGGGGGGTAGTCGGTCCCTTCCGCCATAACGCTGAAATGAGGTTAAACAAATATGATGTTTTTCTTCGTATTTTTTTCGTTATTTTCATTATTATTTTCTATTAGTATTATTACTGTTATAATTTTTGTTATTGCTGTTATTATCATTATTTTTTATCATTATCATCATCATAATTATCATTGTTGCCATCGTTTTTGTCATTATCATTCTCATTATCTTTATTACCATAATTCTCGATATCATTGTTGCCATTATCATTATCATTATTATCATTACCATTATCATTGTTATTATCATTACCATTATCATTGTTATTATCATTACCATTATCATTGTTATTATCATTACTGACATTATATTGTTGTTTTCATGATTATTTTCATCATCATTATCATTATCATTATCAAAACTCTCTCATTGTTATCTTTGTTTTAATTAGTATTACTATTATTATCGTCATTTTAATGTTTATTATCACCATTACTATCATCATAATAGTTATTGTTATCATGAATACCATTATCATTTTCATTATTATCATGATGATTATTGTTGTTATCTTTATTACTATCATTATCACTATTACCTTTGCAATTATAATTCAATGATTATCATTATCATCATTAGTATTGTTATCATTATTACCATTACCATCATCTTTAGCATTATTGTTGTTTTGTTATCATCATTATTAATCAATTTTTATCATTATTAGATTACCATTATTTTACTATCAATTTCATTTTTGGCACTATATCACTATTATCGTTGTTACTGATTATCGATTATAGTATATATTATATATATATATATATATATATATATATATATATTAATATATAATATATATCATATCATCATCATCATCAGCATCTTCAGGCTGAGTCAATCCACTGCAGGACGTAGGCCTCTCCCTTCTTTTCCAGGATTCCCTGTCTTGCGATGATTTGTTTTCCAGTCTTGGCCCCCAAATTTCGCTATTTCAAGATGATAAGAAATCACAACAATACTAATGGTAATCAATAATGATAATAATGAAGACAATCATGATACTGATAATAACATAATTATAGTGATGATAATCATATAAACTATATTCAATGATAATGATGATAGTAATAAACAAGGTAACACTGATTATGATAATACTAAGGATGATAAAATGATGATATTTGATAATACTAAAAATGAACAACAACAACAACAATAATGATTATAATATATATATATATATATTATAATCATTATTGTTTTTGTTGTTGTTCATTTTAGTATTATCAATATCATCATTATCATCTTTAGTATTATCATAATCAGTGTTACCATTGTTATTACTATCATCATTATCATTAATATAGTTATATGATTATCATCACTATAATTATGTTATTATAGTACTCAGATTTGTTTCATTATTTATCAATTATGATTACCATTAGTATTGTTGTGATTTCTTATCATCTTCAATATTATCATCATTATCATTAACATAACTTTTGACATCATCAGTATCCTCATTACCGATATCATTAGTATTAATATTATTCTCTATATCATTGTCACTCCCTCCGCTACGAGTCCTGGTAAAGTACCGTTATGGGTTTCTCGCAGACTACTTTTATAAGTAATTTACTTATTTGGTCCTTCCTTACATCGCTCTCTAGAAAGTGTTCGGATCGGTACATCTACCTAAAGAAAGCGTTCGAATCGGTGAGTCGAACACCAAAAAATGTTTGAATTGGTGAATTTAACTTAAGAAAAAATTCGAAACGGTGAAATAACTCAAGAAAACGTTCAAATCGGTTTATCAACGCAAGAAACGTTCTAAAACTGAATCCAACCAAGAAAACGGTTTTCAAAACGTGTGGTTATCTAACTCAGGAAAACGTTCGAATCTGAGAATCTAACTCAAGAAAACGTTTGAAACGGTGATTCCTAACTCAGGAAAACGTTCGAAAATGACTGAGAATCTAACTCAAAGAAAACGTTGAAACGGATCTGAATTCAATAACTAACAAAAGGTGATTCTAACTCAAGAAAGCGTTCGAATCGCTAAATTTATCTGAAAATAACGTTTGAAGTAGTGAAATAACTCAAGAAAACGTTTGAATCGGTGAATCTAAAGTAAGAAGACGTTCGAACCGTTGAATCTAACTCAAAAAAGCGGTTGAATCGACGCATTGTGAATCGCTTTTGGGAAATCCTGAGACTCGCAAGAATTCCAGAAACCCATATTGGATTAATAGCAAGCCTTTGTACTAGTAATGAAAGTGCTGTAAAATCCAATGGGGGAAGGAGCCTGACTACCGCCTATGAACTCAGGTATCAAACAGGGATGTCTTCTTTCACCAACACTCATCAAGACTCAAATGGACTGGATAACGATCAGATAACGATCAGTCATCTGTAAGTCAACGCGGAGCAACACTGGACAATCTCAAAATCAACAACCTTGCCTTTGCAGACGACGTGTCCCTCTTATCTACATATTCGAAGACTCTACAACGGCTATTCTCGATGCCCTTAGCAGTGAGGTAGATGCCCTTAGAATCTAGAGGCAGTCGCTACGTGCTTGCAGCGGAAACAACGCAGCCGCACGGAGCTTTGCCCGCCTTGGCAGAGCATTGCATCTGTCAGATCCAGAAGTCAACAAAAGGATTGGCTTTGAGTAACAGGAGCCACGACCGCTTTCAAGAGAGAAAGTGAGGAATAGAGAGAGGGGAGGTAGGGAAGGAAGAGAAGGAAGTGAGGAAGGATAGGAAGGAAGGAAAGGAGGGTAGAGAGGGAGTGGGAGTAAGGGAGAGTGAGAGGTAGAGAGGGTAGAGGGAGGAGAGGAAGAGTAGGAGAGAGAGAGAGAGAGAGATAGGATGATGAGAGGAGGGTAGAGAGAGAGAGAGGAGAGAGAGGGAGAGAGGAGAGAGGGAGTGGATGAGAGAGATGAAGAGAGAGAGAAGAGAGAGAGAAGAGAGAGGAGAGTAGTAGAGAGAGAGAGAGAGAGAGTAGAGGAGATGTATTTTTTTTTTTAAATATTGGGTGTTGTTGTGTGATGGTGTGTGGGGTGGGTGTGTGTATATATGTATTATAATATATTATATATATATGTATAATAGATTATTTATATAATAATTATATAATATTATAATATAAATGTATATATAATTTAAATATATAGTATTTATAATTATATATAATATGCATAATTAAATATATAAATTAATATATGATATATTATATAATATATATTATATAATAATTATATATAAATTAATATAATTATATATATATATTTTATATATAATATAATAATATAATAAATATAATATAATATAATTATATAATTATTATTACATATATAATTATAATGTTAATAAATTATATGTATAATAATATATTATAATATAATTAATAATATTAATATATATATAAATATATAAATAATATAATATTAATATTATAAAATATATAATATAATAATAAAGTAATTTAATAATATAAAATTTAAATATAATATATATATAATAATTGTTATTTTATATATATATAATATTATAATAATTATATAATTATATATATATTTTATATATTATATATTATATATATATAATATTATTTTTTTATGTATATAGTTTTATGTATTGTTATATATATATATATTTATATAATAATATATATATAATATATTATATTATTATAATATATATAATATATATATATATAATATATATATATATATAATATTATATAAAATAATATATAATATATATATTATATATAATATATATATGTATATATATATATATATATAATATTTATATATATATATTTATATATATACTATGTATATTGTGTATATATATTTTTTATAATTTATATATTTATATATATATTTATAATATATATATATATATGTTATGTGATATGTATTGTATAAGATATATATATATATATGTATATATGTATATATATGAAGGGGCAGGGTAGATGAGAGATGAAGATGAAAGAGAGAGAGAGAGAGAGAGAGATAGAGAGAGATGAGAGAGATAATGAGAGAGAGATAGATAGATGAGATGAGGAAGAGAGGGGAGAGGGATGGGAGAGGGAGAAGAGAGAGGGAGGAGGTGAGGGAGGGAGGGAGAGAGAGGGAGAGAGAGGGAGAGAGAGATGAGAGGAAGAGATAGAGAGAGAGAGAAGAGAGAGAGGAGAGAGGAGAGAGAGATAGAGAAGAGAGAGGAGAGAGAGGAGAGAGAGAGAGAGGAGAGCTCGAACGGAGGAGAGAGGAGGGGAGAGAGAGAGAGAGAGAGAGAGATGAAGAAGAGAGAGAAGAGAGGACGAAGAGAGAGGAGAGAGAGGAGAGAGAGAGAGAGACGGAGGGAGAGAGAGAGAGAGAGAGAGAGAGAAGAGGAGAGAGAGAGAGAGAGAGAGAGAGAGAGAGAGAGAGAGAGAGAGAGGAGAGAGAGAGAGACGAGAGAGGAGAGAGAGAGAGAGAGAGAGAGAGAGAAAGAGGAGAGAAGAGAGAAGAAGAGAGAGGGAGAGAGAGAGGAGAAAGACGAGACAGACAGACATATAAAAAGAAAACACATAAGATTATATCAGATCTTAGAAGAAAAATATAACAAAAACGCATCACAATCACTGGAATTTCTTAAACATACTTTCATTTTTTAACGTAAAGAAATCCTCACTTTACGAGAAGCAATAATCATTTTCCTATTCTTTGTATGCTTTTTTTTTTCCTTCTTTTAAAAATTCTTGTGCAAAAAGTGCATTTTTTTTTCTTTTTTTTTTTGCCTCCGCCTGATATATATGATGCTAATATAAAGTCTTTTTTTCTTCACGGCGTAAATTTGCAGATTCACAACACGGATTCAATGATGTCTGCAAATAATGTCTATTCAGTCAAAAGATTACATTATATTTATGTGAACAGAATGTTCTTTTTTAACAAGAAAAAAAGTCAGCGAATATTCCGTTTGTTTAATTTGATTGATTAACTTATTATAATTGTTTTATCAATTCATTATTGTTTATTTAATTCATTTATTTTTCTAGATTACATTTCCCTAACTTATTTTCTTTTTCGATGTAAATTTTTAGACCTAGTTTTTTTTTTAACAAGAAAAAAATGTAGACCCCAT